CGGCCGGGTTCATGGCCGGCTCCTCGCGGCACCACTAACAGGACTGTGCTGCTGCTGGCATTGTCCTGGAGCAGTGTGCGTGGGCAGGCCTCCCCCAGACGGCAGCGCTGGGCGCGGGCAGGGCTGTCCCCGCGGGAAGGCGACTTGTGTGAGATCACTATCTGCTTGTCTCTGTCCCCCCTTCCCGTCCCCTCGGCACTCCGTCCCGTGCGCCGGTGGCGGCCGGCCCCCATCCGCCGCTGCCCCCAGCCCCTGCCCGAGGGTGACAGACTTCCCGTCTCCTCCCGAATCAGAAACAGAGTGAGGCGTCGCTGCTCGCGGGGGGCGGGCGCTGGTGGTGAAGGCCGACTCGCCCTTTCCGCAGGCATCCAGGTGCGGCACGACCAGGACCTCGGCTACATGCATCACAAGTTTGCCATCGTGGACAAGAAGGTGCTGATCACCGGCTCCCTCAACTGGACCACCCAGGCCATTCAGAACAACAGAGAAAACGTTTTGATTATGGAGGATGAGGAGTACGTGAGGCTTTTTCTGGAAGAATTCGAGCGTATTTGGGAAGAGTTCAATCCTACGAAGTACACCTTTTTCCCACAGAAGAAGCAGAGTCACTGAAGGGTGCTCGCTCCTCCATCTGCGGAGCGGGAGGGAGAGTGGTGTCCAGTATCACGACTTTTGGTACCCGGAGTCGTAAGCAGACCCAAAGCTACAAAGAGCGGGGCTCAGACCGGCCTGGGCCGCGTGCACCGCCACAGAAACCTTAGAAAACGGCCGCGCGCACTCGGTTCTCGCTCGGCTCGGCACTAAAGCGAACTTCCCTGCAGCACCGAGCCGCTGTTTCGGGCCAGCTTGTTTCCCGCCGCAGGCCCCGCCGGGCATGCAAGCTGAGCCCCCCAGCCTGATTCTAGAAGAGCCTCTTGCTTTGGCCGACTCCCATCAGCGCCCGACCCTGTCCCCAGCAGGGGCTCCCAAACGCCTGCCGCTTCTCCCCCTGGCCTGGCCGCTGCCATGAGCCCCCCTGTCCCCTCGTGTCCGTCTGCTCTGACCAGCTCCTCGGGGGCTGACTGGCGGTTTGAGTCTGAAAGGGCAGGAGGAGAAGAGGGGTGCCGGGCATGGCGGGAGCGGGGAGCTGCCTTCCAGGCCCCCTCGTGAGCATCACTGGCCCCCCCCGAAGCGGGCAGGTGATGCTCTGACCCGGGTCCCCTTGCATGACGACCCTTTACGACAAATAACGCGTGAAGATGTTCATCCTCCGCCGCTTCAAGTGCAAGGTCTGTCCGCAAGGACTGTAAGCGGCCAGAAGCTGCCTCTGTTTCCCTCCGTTATGCCTTTCGTTGTCAACATTCTCACATTCAAGATGATTTTGGGCGCTTAGAAGTGACCTTCCCTGCACTACCCATGAACTTGGCTCATTGGCAGTTTTGGCTCAGCGTAGTCCGTCATGAGTTACCCGACCATCTGGGGAGGAAACCGGGAGGGCGGCCGGTTTCGGGCTGTGGCACCTCACGGATCTCTTCCTACGGTCAGCTCTGGGATTTGCTTTCACCGGTAATGAACCATCTGCTGTACGGTTGTGAAGTGGTTACAGACTGGTTTTTCATAACACGTATCTTTATATGTCGATAGCTCAAATGACCTCTGAACGACGGTTCTGCCATCGTGTCATGTTTGTGTGTCATATGCCGTGTGACTTGTCCTGACGTCCCTCACGCCCACGGAGCCGCCCGCAGAGGGCCTCCGGTGCTGCATGTTTTTCCCGTTTAAAGTTACCTTCGACTTACTGTGTTAGGCAAGTAAACCTCAAGTTAATTTTTCTGATTTAATTGAAGCTATAAAGTATAACATATAGATTGGAAATAAGAAATGCTTTTGCACTAAACGTGTTTTCTCACCTGTGTGTTCCAACAGTGTGTGCTCTGAAGGGCAGCATGACAAGTGGTAGAATGTGTCCCGAATGATGAGGCCGGGTGGTCCTGGACGTCTGGCAGGTTTAAATAAATATGTTCCTGTTCTGAAATGGTCGTACCGTGTCTCTTTGCCTTTTGCTCATTCAAATAGCAGGTGCTGTTTATTACATAACATTTTGGGGGGAGCGGACGACATACAGCTGTTTAGAGGCCATTGGTCAAATTGGGCGCCGCCAGCAGGAGCAAGACCCGAACGTGTTACTGGGGGACCTTGTGAAGTGTTTTCCAAAGATCCCGAAGGTGGTTTTCGCAGGGCGGGGCTGGCCCATCACACTGCGGGTGTGCTCACCCCTGCGATTTCCCCCCCGGTGGGGGGGGGGGGAAACGCGACCGCCTCATCTGTGTGGTGATGGGGACTGTGTGCACGCTTTCCCCTGAGCAAACACACGCAAAACCAAGAAGTGTCTTCCAACGTGTCCCTGCTGCTGGTGGCAGGGTCTCCAGTGTTTTCCTCTCCGCCCTGTGACGGTTGGCACACGGGCCACGCGCTCTCCCAGCCGTGTCTGCCCAGCACAGCCTGGCGCGGAGAAGGTCACCTAGCCCGGTCACCTGGACGAACGGTTTCAGAATTCCGAAATGATCTCTCGTAACCGTTTTATTTTAATGGCTTTGTTTATATTGTTATCTTCGTTATCTTAGCAGCAGGAGATTAAATCTCATGAGTTTCACATAATAGTTAATCGGTCGGAAAAGAATCGCAGTAAGATAAAACTTCTTGCGACCCTTGTGATTAAAAACCCTTGTCGTGGCAGTGGCCGTGGCTGTCACTGGCTGCCTGCAGGTGTCAAATCCGCCGAGAGCAAGAGCGCTTATTCAAGCAGTGCACCTCTATTGTAATTTAAAGCATGTATTGGTTCTTTTGAATTGTTTTTTTTAAAAAAACAACTGATTGCTTTCTTAAAAAGACTTCATTGGGGTTCATATATCCCAAGATTCATCCTTGTGAAGTATGCACCACCCTGGTTTGAGAGCATTTTCATCACCCCAGAAAGAAACCCATGTCCCAGGAGCAGTACCTGCATGCTCTCCCACTCCCAGCCCCCAGCAACCACTGGTTTACTTCTGTCTCTCTGGGTTTTCCTGCTGTGCACATTTCATATACATGGAATCCTTCACTATGTGGCATTTTGTACCTGCCTTCTTTCACTTAGCATCATTTTTTTTTTTTTTTAAGATTTTATTTGACAGAGAGTGAGAGCACAGGCAGGGGGAGTGCCAGGCAGAGGCAGAGGGAGAAGCAGGCTCCCCGTTGAGCAGGGAGCCCGATGTGGGGCTCGATCCCAGGACCCCGGGACCCTGACCCCAGCCCAAGGCAGACGCTTAACAGGCTGAGCCACCCAGGCGCCCCAAGCATGTTTCTGAGGGCTGTCCCTGTTGTAGCATGTGTCGCTATTCACTTTTTGTAGCTGAATAATACTGTCGTGTGGATAGATCACAGGTTTTGAACCCGTTCATCAGTTGGTGGACATTTCAGTTGTTGCCATCATTACACATGATGACGCTGTAGACATTCACATGTAAGTGTCCGTGCAGACGCATGTTTTCATTTCTCTTGAGTATACACCTAGGAGTGGGATTTTTGGGTCCTAGAACGCTATTGAGAAACTGCCAGACTTTTCCAAAGTGACTGCACCATTTTACATTCCGACCAGCAGACTGTGAGGGTTCCTTCTTCTCTACGTCCTTGCCAACAAAAAACTAACTACTGACTGTTTCAGTGATAGCCAACCTATTGAGTGTGAGGTGGTGTCTCATTGTGGTTTTGACTTGTGTTTTCCTGATGACTGAGGATGTCGAGCGTCTCTTCATGTACTTGCCTTTTATATATTGTCTTCAGAGAAATGTCTCTTCAAGTCCTTTGCCCATTTTTTTTAAATCGGTTTGCCTTTTTATCATCGAATTAGAAGTTATAACTTATGACTTACAACTTAATACAAATTATAAGAATTATAAGAGTTCTTTTTATATTTTGGACTCAAATCCCGTATGAGAAATACGATTTGCAAAGACTCTTCCATTCTCTGGGCAGTCTTTTCACTTTCTTGGGTATTGTGTGCGGCTATGTGTTACTAATTTTGATACAGTTTAATTGGCCTGTTTTTACTCTTGCTGCTTGTATTTTGGTGTCATAGCTAAGAAACCATCGCCCAACCCAAGGTCACAGAGATTTGCTTCTGTGTTTTTTTCTGAGTCTTATACTCTCAGCTCTTATGTGTCAGCCTGTGAACCATTTTTTTTTCAGGCTTTATAGATTTATTCAGAAAGCGATCCAATTATGATTCAACTGTGCATTTTTAGCACTGTGCAGTCCAGTGTTTTCAAATACTTTTCCCCTGCACATCTGTTCATAACAATTTTATAATCCTTAAGAAATTCTCTTACCTGAAGTTTTTCATGCATTCACGTAATTTTGCAGGATGTCTGATGTGCAATGAAGTAGTAGCTATGAGCATAACCCTCTTGTAATTAAAAACAACAGGGACTTTCTTTTCTGTACAGACAGGTATGAAGTTATCAGGTAGTAACTGCCCACCTGAAAGGAACCGGTCTTTTCCTTGATCCATTAGTATGTCCAGCTGAGAACCTGGATAGGACTTCACAAGATGGCTCGAATCATAAGCCTTCCATTTACTTTGATCTTTTGCCCCAAGGACAGAGCACTGTGTTGCAAACTAGAGCAAATGCTGACACAGATTTATGTTTTCCAGGATTCCTCCGAGCACAAATCAGAGCTCCATGGCCTCCTTTGGAGTAGCCAAAAATAGACACCCTTTGGGGGGCCACCGGAAAACTAGCCTTTATGAGTTGGGGAAGCTCCTTAGTAACAGAAGAGTACGTTCTGTCGCTCGTTTTCCAAGGCTCCTCGGTGGCATCCACACGGAACCCAGCACCGGTGCCAGAGTCCCAGCCCTCACCTTCTCCTTTATTGCAGCCACGAGGGCTGATATCTGGGACCGTGACAACAAGGCCACGTTCTGAAGCAGCTTGATGATAACCCGACTTTCATATAAAATTTCGTTCTGTTCAAGTTAAACTAGGGCATTTTCCAGTTTCTGCCTTTGGTGGTAAGTAGACAGCAAATTTCGTTTTGCAGTTCAGTTCAACACTGTCATGTTCCAAACCTTCCCGAAATCCTCCAAAGCACCCGTTGGCTGGAAATGCTTCAATGCCGTTCTTCGCCTGACCAGTTGCTACTGGCTTTTTAATCTGTATCCCAGGGTAGATGATCCTCGGGGGTCGGAGGTGGCGGGAAACGCAGCAGAGTGGAAAGGTGAGGCCTCAATGTGGCTGTGTGTGCCATGTTCTCCTGTCCTCGTTGCTGGCCCCCATCGGGCCTGCCTGCTTTCGGGCCAGGCCTGTGACCCATTTTGAGTTAATTTTTTGTGTATGGTGTGAGGAAGGGGGTTCAGCGGCATTCTTTTGCATGTGAATAGCTACTTGTCCCAGCACCATTTGTGGAAAGACTCTTCTTTCCCCGCTGAATGGTTTTGGCACCCTTGTCAAAAATCGATTCATTCCAGAAATGTATTCACTTATTTCTGGATTCTTAATTATGGTTCACTGACCTATAGGTCAGTCCCTCTGCCAGGAGCACACTATCTTGACTACTTAGCGTTTGTGGCAAGTTTTGAAACCCAGTAAGTCAGTCCTTTGACTTTGTTCTTCTTTCCAACATTGTTTTGGCTACTCTGGGTCCTGTTACATTTCTTTTTCTTTTCTTAAAGATTTTATTATGTATTTGACAGAGAGCTAGAGAGAGAACACAAGTAGGCAGAGCAGCAGGGAGAGGGAGAGGCAGGCTCCCCGCCGAGCAGGGAGCCGGATGCGGGGCTCGATCCCAGGACCCGGGGATCATGACCTGAGACGAAGGCAGACGCTTAACCGACTGAGCCACCCAGGTGCCCTCGTGTTATATTTCTATATGAATCTTAGAATCAGCCTATCAACTTTTGCAAAAGCAGCTGGAGTTTTGATAGGAATTGCGTTGAATCTGTAGATCAAGGTTGGGGAGTATTCCCATTCTAACAATATCGTATTTTCCAACCCATGAATGTAGGCTTCCTCTTCTTTAAATAATCTTTCGTAGTTTGAATGGATAAGTCTTACACTTCTTTTAAAAAATTGATTCCCAAGTATTTCATTCTTTTGGTATTATTGCAAGGGAATTGTTTTCTTAATGTGTTTCAGATTGTTACTAAATACAATTTTTTTCTTATGTTAATCACCATACGTTACATCATTAGTTTTGGATGTAGTGTTCCATGATTCATTGTTTGTGCATAACACCCAGTGCTCCACGCAGAACGTGCCCTCCTCAATACCCATCACCAGGCTAACCCATCCCCCCAACCCCCTCCCCTCTAGAACCCTCAGTTTGTTTTTCAGAGTCCATCGTCTCTCATGGTTCCTCTCCCCCTCCAACTTACTCCCCTTCATTCTTCCCCTCCTGCTATCTTCTTCTTCTTCTTCTTTTTTCCTTAACATGTATTGCATTATTTGTTTCAGAAGTACAGATCTGTGATTCACCAGTCTCGCACAATTCACAGCGCTCACCATAGCACATACCCTCCCCAATGTCTATCACCCAGCCACCCCATCCCTCCCACCCCCCACTGCTCCAGCAACCCTCCGTTTGTTTCCTGAGATTAAGAATTCCTCCTATCAGTGAGGTCATATGATACATGTCCTTCTCTGATTGACTTATTTTGCTCAGCATAATACCAGATGTGGTATGTGTGTGTACACACACACACACACACACACACACACACACACACACACACAATGGAATATTATGCAGCCATCAAAAGGAATGAAATCTTGCCATTTGCAACAACGTGGATGGAACTGGAGGGTGTTACACAATTCATTTTTGTATATGAATCTTGTATCCTGCAAAACTGCAGAACTCCTATAATTTTTTTTTAAGATTTTATTCATTTATTTGACAGAGACAGAGCAGGAACACAAGCAGGGGGAGTGGGAGAGGGAGAAGCAGGCTTCCCGCGGA